TGGCCTTAATGTGCTTGTTGAAAGAGTTTTAATTTGATTAGAACCATTACTTTGTGGGCAAGTTGAGTCGTCTCCTTTTGCACGGTGACCCAACATCTTCTCCCTCTCGTTCAATCTTTCGATCAAGCCTTATTAATTCTTATTCAACTTTCTACCACTATCACTTACATTCATCGTATCCCCTAATCTGTTAATTTCAATAACCTCTCTTACTTTACACTTCGTAACAGTCGCACCATAATCAGCAAGCCTCTGCGTCTGAGACCATTCTATCTCATGTCCAGTCCTCGACAGATGCAAGCATTTTTCTGCTCCGCTAATCGTTCGTGGGTGGGCCGACATGTTTCATCTGAAGACAATTGTCCATAATATTGTCTTGACAATATTTGTCTCTACAAGCGGCATAATCGTACAGTGTCGTAGTTTCTTTTAAAAGTGTCTTCATCCCCCACCGCTTCACCAGTTCGTTCGTCTATTTAGAAAGACTAAATAGAGTCAAAGTAAGAACATGACCAAAGGTCTCCATTTTGATCCTCTTCTCACATATTCCCCAATTACAAGACATTTTGTATTGATGCCATATCCATCCGCCGCCAATCAGGCTTGTCACACAATAGCTTTGCTGTCTGTATCATACACGGTCTACATTAAAAAATATGTAGCTTTTTTACACTTTTACCTGTCGACGGGACAGCTATTCGTGTCCAAGGCATCAAGTGGCCGAACGTTCACTTCAATATAGACCCAACTCAAAAAGCTGTGCTCCTGGAGGCTGTTTTGTGTCCGGCCTCTCGACTACCGCTCATCGCATCAGCAAGAGCCCTGCAGTCTGGTTGCCTCGGCAACAGACCGTGAAACCAACGCTATCCGCGATCCAAGCCTGCATCGGCTAGTTCGCTCGATGCCATGCCAACGTGGCCGTACGAGTCTGAAGGAGCACACGGAAATGCCTTCATTCGGCAATTTTACAAGTGAGCGAAAGTGACAAACCGACCTAGTCGGAAAGATGTGTCTACAACTCCATTTGGCCGGCCTAACGAGACTTCGGAAGCGGCAGAGGACCACCTAGACTCGTGTTGCCAACTGGCCGGGAGGCATCACATAATCCAGTCTACGAGTAAACTATTAAAGTGTGCATGATTGTTTCCGCCATTGTGTTTAGGCAAGCTCTCATCCATCGTGCAAGTTATGCAATTAATTCACACAACAGGCGTCATGGCGCATCCCGCATGAGAATAGCATGGTTGATTGCCAAGCGTAACTTCTGCAAAACGAGACCCACGCCACGACCCAATTCAAAGCCATAAGCCTCGGTCGTTTGGGTCATTCTGTCGGCTCTGCCTAGTCGATGTGTAGACGACGAGATTGCGGTTGTCCAAAGTGAGTCTGGCGGATGGTGCTGAAGGGAAAATGGCAGCAAAGGGCATCATTCTGACACATTTTACAATTGGGTTGACCTCGTTTTCGCATTTCGCTTGTGTTGTCAGAAGGACTTGGATAAAGGCCCGAGTCGTCCGAAATCCTCCTCTATAGTAGCTATGCCAATTTCTAGCGCTGAACCGTGGATTTGATACATTCCCAAGCGTTTCGCCGGTATGACACGATTGTGTGTTTGTGGCCGTATATGCATGAACGTAGTTGGGACTGCGGGTATGCGTGAGTGCACATGTGATTGTGGATGTGTATTTGGGTGTGAGTGTAAACCTGGACTTTTTCTGTGCATTGTTGGTTGGTGTAACTCAGTGTTAACGACCAAAGACTGGGAGTTCACGAGTGCGTCCAATGATGAGTTAGATTCTGGCCATCCTGGGCTTAATAGCCTTCTAAATGCTTGGGACAAGACAGATTTGGAGTTGTCAACCGTTTTTTAGTTCTATATCTTTCGAGGGACCAAGTATTTGCTTATTTGACTGATAGCGAACCGAACTTTATGACAAAAATCACATCTTTGGTCGGACATCCGATAAGCGGTCAAATTGCTAAGCAATTTGGAAATAAAAATTAAGCCATAAGGCTTGCGCAGGATTGACGCCTGACTATTCTAAACTGAGTGTCTGAAGAATTTTAGTTGAATTGTTCTTTCATTCTCTGATGATATTTCAGATAACGCAAGAAGGTTCAGCATTGATTCATCCGATCGCGGGCCCTCAATGACCAAATCAGCAGTCGCAATTGCAAGACAGTCTTCCTTCGGTTTCCAAAGAAACCAATAATCTAAACCCTGTACAATGACATTACTTTTTTTCGTTTATAAGTAGGATTTAGAGATTGTCAATAGATTATGTATATGCGGTGTATTCACTATATTTCTTGTAAGGTGATAAATAGACTGATAAGTGTAGTTTCTATTTTAGCTCGTTTTCGCAACTTAGTCGAATCAACAGAGAGACCTGCACCAAGTCAGCGGTTTGATGCTGGGAATTGTCACAACTTCTATGGCCGAGGATACAGAGGTAGCTAAATTTCACAACTTTACCCTATCGCTCTAACTAAGCTGGGAAAATGAAATCCAACCAAAATTATAACTTTCTGCAAAAGTGGTGAAGGACTGGTAGGTGAATTCTCACATATTGATGTATGCAGGCGTACTTTTTCATTGCATCCCACAAAGCCTCGCCTTCCAAAAGGTATTATCATCCGGCAGAGTGGAATGCAATTTCGAGCACAAGCATTACTCATCAGTAGCTACAGCGAGATCCGAATCCGGGTACTGCAGCTAGTAGCCTTGACACATTAAAAAATGCGCCAAATTTCTATGATTGCCCTTGAATCACAGGACAGAGTTCACCTTTAGAAGCCTAGGCATTTCACATATGGAATTTAAGTCGTGGGATTGTCGACGAGGCAAAGTTGTATTTGCTATAACAATCGAGGGCACACTACTTTTTCCTTTCATAAATGGGTTTTCCAAAATACTATTAGATAAGATATGAGCTATATCCACAATGGTTTGAGTAGGGGAATTTCCTGGGAGAATTAAATTACAAGATATATGA